TTTACTTTGAAAATGAAATGCAAATGTAGAAGACGAGAAGCAAATGTGGTTAAGCCCATTCTCTATTGGAAAAATAAGATATCTTTTATAAAAATTTTCTTCAAGAATGGGCTGGATTTCACAACGAAGGTAGTATATATGGGTTAACGACGGCTGCCTTATGCTGGAGAGTGGCCAAGTTGTCGAGTTCATTATCAAAGGGGAGGCAAGATATTCGTTTTTCAATTATTGAAACATTTTTACCTGAAGCCAATGTTGAAATGACCGTTACATTTTCTTCTAGGGTGTGTAAAAATTTCATAACTGTGCCAATTACCAGTAGCTCACTAGAACAAAATATGTATTAATTATTAGTATTGGAGTATGCATATCGTCGCCCGTATGCCATAAACATGAATGTGTATAAAAGAAAATTTTGGGAAATCAAGTTCGAAAGTTTTTTTGCGAGACTTAGCTCTACATTTTTGCAAACGAAATTGTAAAATATTTACTTTCCGTGTACGCATGATATCCAGGGTTTTGGTATAACATAGAAAATCGAAAAATAACCCAAGTCAACCCAATAACTCAAAACTGATAAATTTGCACATTCATGCTTCTGGCATGAGGGTTACGATATGTGAATTAAAAACTTTAAAGGCGTGTTTCTCGAGCTTTCGGTTTTTTGAGTTATGACAGTATTGAAAAAAATGAGCTTTATGTTCATTTTCATAACATTCATATTGGATATTGAAGTTAATATTCGAACGTCGCCACAATATTTATTGGGTAATTTAAAAAAAAATTTTCTTAAAAGTTCTTAGCTCGTCGATATTTACTCTGTACTTGTGAAAAAGTATCGAGTTCTCGATACCACTCAGTACTCGTTACTCGAATCGTTCTATCACTAGCTATTTGAATAAAATGCTAACTTTTAATTTAATTGTTGCAGTTTGTGAGAATTTCGGTATAGGTCTGAAAGGTGAATTACCATGGCGCCTTAGGTGTGTAACATTTGTGCGAATCACAGGCTATTTAATATTTGTTTGAAATTATATATTTGACAGATCAGAACTTAAATACTTTTCGACTACAACTAGGCGGCGGGAAAATCCAGAGAAGCAAAACGTGGTGATTATGGGGCGAAGAACATTCTTTTGTATACCTGAAAATAAGCGGCCATTATTCGGTCGTCTAAATATCGTATTGAGTACAACACTCAAACGATCTGAGTTACCAGATAATGTGCTGCTCTACCCGAGTTTAGAAACAGCAATGCAACATTTAGAACAGTCTGATCTCAAGCAGCAAATTGAAAAGGTTTGGATCGTTGGTGGAAGCGGAGTGTACAAGGAGGCTATGGCTTCGCCCCGTTGTGATCGGATATATTTGACCGAAATTCTGAAAGATTTTGAATGCGACACATTTTTCCCTAAGATTCCCGATGATTTCAAAGAAGCCAAACCTGATCCTTTCCTACCCCTGGGTGTTCAAGTGGAGGACGGCATTCGATATGTATATAAAGTGTTAGAGAAGCAAACAATTCTTGATTAAATCAGGTACCTATTTGAAGGAAACTGCATTTTATTTCGTTTTCACGGTATTCGTATCTTCAAGGCCCTTGGCAGCTATCATTAGTTCATATAATTGTACTACTTGATCGTCTTTAAGCATTTCAACAATTCTAGTGTCCAATTCGCCCCCTAGTGTCCCCGTTGGTTTACCCTTTAGCCCTAGTTGTGAGGTAATCGTCACGGCATATTTCTGTAAAATAAGTGTATTAAACACATTAGGAAAATCATATATACGACTCGTTAAAAAAGCATGGGTGAAATTTTCCAATAGGGAACCACGCTTTGAAGACACGGGGGAAAGGGGGACGCCCACATCTTAAATATGCGTCCAACTCCTTTCTATGTTCTTTCTGAGAGTGATGGTTTCATTTAAAAAAAACCTTGGCTAATATCGTCACCCGGGTTTCATAAAAATACTAATGGTTCTGTTTTGGAAATAGCCGAGGCATGTTTTTCAATCCCTTACAGCCCATTCAGTCATAAATAGTTGTGCTTCCATAGGTGAGCAGGCAAGATGCCGCCGAAATTCGTCGCGCGCATATTTATCACCCAAATCTCGTAGCTCCTGTGGTAAACCTGAAAACGGACAATCGCATTAGTGACCATGATTGCATGACGGTAAACTTGCGGTGATGTTATAAATTACCTCTATGCAAACGTAATATCGTCTTATATAAAATACGCACCTTTTGTGCGTGGCTTAATTGATCTACTATTATTTTAGACATCTATTTGGTGAAGCAATTATTTACTATCTTGTAATTATAAACGGTTAACTATTGAACAGCTGATAATAGATCAAAAACTAACTTTTGAGGAATTTCAGATGTAGTTGCTTGAAGTGGTGCAAAACTATCGATGTTTTTTTTTTTTCGCTACTTCGATTGTAATTTGGAACTATCGATAGTCCGGCATACTTGTGCACAGTGTACGGAGTTCGAAAAATGTGATAGAAGTTGGCAGTCTTTTCTTAAAGACGTAAGGATGTGATATCGGAGCAGCAGAATTTTCATCTCGTTGGTTCTTAATAGTTGTAGGTTTGTATAGTAACCCAAGAATAGCTCTGATCCAGTACTCCATGAACTTACAGGATTTTATACGAACTTGCAGGAAGTTGCAGGAAAAATGTTCCCGTACTCCAAAATCCTGTAAATGAGAGCGACTTTTGGAGAGTTGTGTAGAGAATGCAGTTGCAAGATTTTTTTTCCTCTGGTAAAAGCCCTGATCCAATACTTTTCGTGAAAAATCCTGTAAAACTGTCAAACAGCAAAATTACTCTCTGAAGTGAGAGTAAAAAGTGAATAATAACAACAAGTACGGGAACAAAAAAACATTTTTCCTATAAAAACGTCAACCAGTGATTGCTTGACACTTTTCATGATTTTACCAGAAGAACAAGTTTAAGTAAAATCTTGCAACTTCATTCTCTACACAACTCTCCAAAAGTCGCTCTCGTTTACAGGATTTTGGAGGGTTTTGGAGTACGGGAACATTTTTCCTGCAACTTCCTGCAAGTTCTAATAAGTCTTAATAGCTCTGATCCAGTACTCCATGAACTTACAGGATTTTACAGAAGAACGAGTTGAAACTGCCAATACAGTTCACTTTACAGCGAAAAACGTGATTTAATTTTGCTAAATGCGAAAATATTGCGTTTTTCATCTAATCTTTTAGAGAATAGGTAACGTTTTAGTGCACTCCATTGCTTTGCAATTTAAGCGCTGGTTATACTTACATTGCAAGTGCAGGGCATAGAGAAGCAGCGCATGTTGTTGTTGTTGTTGTAGCGGCTACAACAACCCCGCCCAGATCGGTTGGTATCTCAGTCGTTGTCGTCAAGTTCCACTAACGGCAACCCTAGGAAGCGTGCAGCTTCTGCGGGGTTTGCCCATAAGGACAAGGTCGTTAGGGATGTCGGGTTTGCCGGGCATGCGAAGAGATGTTTCGAGTCATGTGGGGTCTCTCCGCATGCCGGACATTCATTAGGCACATCCTCATTCAGCCTACTCAGGTAGGAGTTCAACCTGCTGCAGTAGCCGGAGCGAAGTTGTGCAAGTGTGGTGCGCGTCTCCCGAGGCAGATGAAGCTCCGTCTCGTCAATGTCCGGGGGTGGTGTGCCTAGAACGGCATTCACAGGTCTAGAGTCTACATAACTCGAGACTGAGTCCCTGTGAATGCCGCTCAAGGCCTGTCTGTAGGCTGTCGGGTCCAGAGGTTGCTTAATGAACCTCTGGACTTCGTCCGTTAGTTCATATAGATGCCTCCTGACGTGCCTAGGCGAGGGCTCCTCCGCAAGCAGCTGTCTGCACGGGTGGCCACTTCTGTGGGTCCCGATCAGGAACTGCTTGCAGAGCATTATATTGTGCTCCTTTACCGGGAGCATTTGCGCCTCGCCGTGCAGGTGGTGTTCAGGCGTCATCAGGAGGCATCCCGTCGCTGTCCTCAGTGCGGTGTTTTGTGCGGTCTGTAGCTTCGTCCACTGCGTCCTACTAGTCCCAGGCGACCACACTGGCGCTGCGTAGTTCAAAACCGGCCGGCCTATTGCCTTGTATGTTGCCAGCAACGTTTCTTTGTCTTTGCCCCAAGTACTGCCGGCTAGCGACTTGAGGACCTTGTTGCGGCTCTGTACTTTATTGACAATAGCGGTTGAGTGCGCAGAGAAGGAGAGCAGGCTGTCGAAAGTTACTCCGAGTATTTTGGGGTTATTCACCGTCGGAATTGGTGTGTCATCGACGTGAATCCCCAGCGGTAGCCTGACCTCCTTCGTCCAGGTTGTGAAGAGGGTCGCGGAGGATTTCGTAGGGGAGAGGGCTAGACACTTTGCAGTGAAGAAGCGAGAAAGTTCGGAGAGATAGCCGTTTACTTTCGAACACAGGTCATCAATTCCATTCCCAGTCGCCATAATCGAGCAATCGTCGGCATAGGAGACAATCGAGACTCCCTCTGGTGGTTGAGGGAGCTTTGAAATATAAAAGTTAAACAGTAGCGGGGAAAGGACACCACCCTGAGGAACCCCCTGTTTTATTTTTCGCTGCTTACTCGTTTTGTCTCTGAACATTACCGACGAATGTTGACCACTTAGATAATTTGCCGACCACCGTTTGAGCCTCTGTGGGAGAGAGGAGGCCTCTATATCTTCTAGTAGCGTGGAATGGCAGACGGTGTCAAACGCCTTTGACAAGTCCAACGCTACTAGAATCGTTCTCTCACAGGGACGGTTACGGTTAAGGCCACGAGTTATCTGAGTGTTTATGGCGTTAAGTGCTGTTGTTGTGCTGTGCACTTTACGGAAACCATGCTGATGCTTCGCTGGGGTCAGGTGATTTGTAAAGTACGGGAGTAGCAAGGCCTCGAGTGTCTTCGCTACCGGGGAAAGGAGTGTAATCGGACGATACGAATCTCCTTTGTTTGCAGGTTTCCCCGGTTTGAGCAGTGGGACCACTCTCCCCACCTTCCAGATGTCTGGGATGATGAGAGTGGCCATTGACAAATTGAGGACCTCCGTTAGGTACGCTACCCCCGCAGGACCCAAATTTTTCAGCATCAGCATGCATATACCGTCGGGACCCATGGCTTTGGAGGCTTTCGCCTTCCCGATGGCCACCTGAACTTCACCGCAAGTGAAAGCAAGGGGGGCACAATTTGTTGGCAGTTTGTGCAGCCTTCTGGTCACTCGACGCTTGGCTTTGTCCACCGGAGGATGCAGTATGAACTGCCGGCTAAAATAGCTCGCGCATCGCTCCGGGTCCGACGAAGCATGGTCGCCGAAGGAAATTTCGACTCTGTCGTCGTGCTTCGTCGGATTAGACAATGACCTCACGGTTGACCAAAGCTTGCTCACACCAGAGGTGAAGTTGCAAGTCTTCAGATGCTCCTCCCACTTCTTCCGCTTATGTACGTTTACAAGTTGCAGCGCATGTGAAGCAGTGGTGTAATTGTACTCGGCATAGAGCGCATAATTTTCCAGAATCAGCTGCTCACTGTGATCAGTTAGTCTGTTCCACTACTCCAGCATTTAGTTAGGAAAACATAAGTGAAGAATGCTTATTCATAGCTTAAATGAAGTCGACACTAAAGTTAGTTGCTGCTTTTTGTCATAATTTTCAATGAAATGGCGGCAACTAACTTTATAATTGACTTTGTTTCGAATATAAATATGCCCCAATGTATGTACAAGAACGACTTCTCAGTAATTCCCCTAAATCTGATGGGTACTGGAACAGACTAATGAGAGCAATGGGAGTGGCATCTCTCTTTGAAAATGTCACATAGCGAAAAATCAAAATTCTCCAAACTTAGATGCCATGCCCTGTCATGCGCTGCGTAGGATAATCGCTTGTATGCAAAGCTCGTTAAACAGATTCTCTATGTGGCAGTACTCATGTTATGCGCTGCAGCACAATGCAAGTATAACCAGCGCTTTAGGCTGATGCAGAGTTAGAGTCAGTTACCGGAGGATCGAGTCACCCCTTATGTTAGGCCGTTCACGTACACGGGCGTAGATGTGTTTGGCCCGTTTAACGTGACAATAGGTCGTCGACGTGAGAAGCGATGGGCAGTAATTTTCACGTGCCTTACTACAAGAGCGGCTCATTTGGAGCTCGCAAATGATTTGTCGACTGATGCATTTTTGCTATGCCTGCGAAATTTTATTAACCGCCGTGGCACACCGATTAGAATCCGAAGCGACAACGGGACGAATTTTGTTGGCGCCCAACGAGAGCTGAAAGAGTCAGAGCGAATTTTGGATTTTGAGCGAATATTCAATGAGGTCACCAGGCGGAACATAGACTGGAAGTTTAATTTTCCTTCCAATCCAAGTTCAGGAGGTTGTTGGGAGCGCCTCATTCGCGTCGTTAAGAGATTGTTGCAGAATACACTTCGCGAAGAAGCACCAAGAGAAGACACACTGCGAAGCGTGCTAATTGAAACCGAAAATATATTAAACTCGAGGCCTCTGACTGAGGTGCCTTTGTCATCAAGGGAAGACGATCCCATAAATCCGAACCATTATCTGGTTGGTTGTCCCAATTCAACGCAAACACCACAGCCAGTTGACCAAAAAATATGCCTCAGGAAACAGTGGCGTATCGCCACTGGTATCTGAAGGACCGCATTTGGAAGCAGTGGATACGGCATTATTTGTCGCAATTACTCTTGCGCCACAAGTGGCACGACAAAGTTGAGGCGATTGAGATCGACGATTTAGTTCTGGTCTGCGACGATCTTCAACCGCGGAGCCAATGGAAAAAGGCCGAGTCACCAAAGTATTTCCAGCCAAGGTCGGGCAGATCAGTCTCGTCGAGGTCAGGACCGCTGGAGGAGTACTACGTCGCCTTGCAACAAGGCTTGCCATCCTGCAAATTAAAGGTGAATCCCTACGTGATTCACGGTGTGGCGGGGTGTAATGGCACCCTGTAAATTTCGTTTTAAATCGGAATCAAACTCGTCATCTGCCTTGTATAACCGGCCGTCTTCACGTGCTGGAAAATCTCGCTTGCGTGACGACGCATGCGAGAAACCGCACGTGTAGACCGCAAAAAGTACGAAGCATGCTTTTTCTCGCATACCGAGCGGTATGCGAGCTCTCGCTTGCTTTCAACTGTAATTTTTGTTGTTTGACAGCTATGTTCTCATTTTTCAGAGTAGAAACATCGTTTATTTTGGAGACAAATACAAATTTAGGGGCAGCCACTTTTCATTTGAAAATAGTATACATCTCTTTATGCAGATTTTCTAACTTTCTCAAACTTTTAAGAGCCTGCAAAGCTTGAACCTTCTTGTTTGGCGACATTTTACAAATGAAAAAGTATGCTGTCAATTGCCCAGTCAACAAAACTCTTTCTCGCTTGCGAGAGAAAAAAGCAGAACGCAAGCGAGTTTTTAAACCATGTGAAGGCGGCCGTTAAAGGACAGCGATAGCGATGGGAGAGGCAGAGTTTTGACACAACAGCCAACGACAGAACAACACAATTTGGAAACGAAGACCACAAAGGCGAACGACGATCGAGAAGAAACAAATAGCACGGAACAATCCAGAATCTTTTTTGCAATACAGCTATTTTTATAGGCAATTTACATGATTCAACTTTCGCAGGCGATTAGTTGAATCAAAAGTTGAACGAAAGTGGGCAGCCGACCAACTTCATTGAAAGCGATTAGTTGAAAGGCCGTTTACACCAGGCGATTGTTGCTTTCAACTAAAAATCGCCTCATGTAAATTCCCTATTACCCTTTTATTAACTTTGTATATTCAACACATGTTACAAATAAATTGCAGTAACAAACATATTTACAAACAAAGGAGTTCACAACATACATATGTAGGCATGTGCATCTTTTATAGTCCAATTCCAACAATTAGTTTGTTCCAGTACATTAGGACATAGTAAAAAATAGTATGAAATCACAGGAAGTCGTTCCGTACGCAAGCATTTCTCTCACTGGAAATACTTTTGAGCGAGTAAGAGAGCAACTGTCCCAGTTAGAAGTTACAGGAATTTGCCGAAGTTTATTTTTCTTCAAGTTCAGGAAATGTCAAACGATATGCAGGGTTGCATTTGTAAACAAAAACAAAACACAGCGGAAGCAAAGATGGAAGTAAACAACGAAATATTTTAATATGTACGCAATTATTCTTAATTGGAAGCGTTTTTAATCAGCATCATTGCGTAAGTCGTAAATTAGGCTAAATTGTACGACTCGACAACATTGGCATTGTTCACTGTCGTGCTGAAAAAAGTAAACGACGAAATTTGTCGAAAACTATACAGTGCTGCCAAGTTTTTCCGTTTTAATACACTAGTCGAGTGGAAATTTTAGGCAATGACGTGAAATTTTCGATACGATTCGACTCTCGAAAAACGACTTGTATTCGACACGACTCTCGCAATGAGGGTGAATAATTATTTACTGATTTGCATCCAAATCAGTGTTGTACCAATGACATGTAAACAAACCGACTGACGTTTGTGTAGGAAATAGTGCTTTTTGGGTTCCCGTACACTTCTGCATGTGTTCTCATTTTACTCATTTGCAGGTTCCAGTACAAATTAGTGCTGACTATTTGTTACTATACACACCTCATAATAGGGGCTGAAATCATCGATACTATCGATAGCCCTAGCGATAGTTTTTCATCACTACAACTGACCAAATCAGCTGTTCACAAAATTAAGTTAGGAATTCGGAGCACTATTTTCGCAGCCGTACACAAATTTGTAAACTTTGGAGTCATGTATTATATTAAAGCGGTGATAACAGCATTGCAAATCAAATGAAATATTCGGCAGTATGATATTAAAAATAAACCAGAGGAGTTATAATGTTACGGACTTGGCTGCGCGCATCGCCTTGGTGCTATTGCTGATATATTGGATTATGCCATGGCGCTTTGCTTCACATTACGAGTTTTTACACCAAAATCAAATAAGTGAGGAGCTTGTCGAGCAAGTTACCAGTAATATCTCCATGCAACGCATGCCTTCATGTGATTACAGTGATATTATAGCAGATAATGCAAACACATATCGGCCGCAGTATCGCGAACATGTACTGCGTGGAGAAGAAATAATACCCGGTGGTGAATATTTTCCGGAGGAGTGCAGCGCACGATTTAGTACCGCAATCATTGTGCCTTACCGCAAGCGGGAGGAGCAACTTCATGCTTTTCTTATCTACATGCACAATTATCTGCGGCAGCAACGCATTCATTATCGAATTTTCCTAATTGAACAATATGATCAGAAACCATTTAACCGCGCGAAGCTATTCAATATAGGCTCAGTAATTGCTGCTGAACTGGAATTTCCTTGTTTAATATTACACGATGTCGATCTGCTCCCGATGAACCTAGGTCAACTATACGCTTGTACACTGAATCCGCGACATATGTGCTCCGCTTTGGATATTTTCCGTTTTACATTGCCATATCGTGGACTATTTGGAGGTGTTGTGGCTATACGAACGCAGCAATATAGATTTATTAACGGAATGTCAAACTTGTTCGAGGGCTGGGGAGGTGAGGACGATGATTTCTTCAACAGATTGTACTCCCATAAAATTGATATTTGTCGCTTTGAGCCGGGATATAGTAAATACACGATGATGCGACACAAGCCAGAGAAAAAGAACGAAGATCGGCTGAAGTTGTTAAGAAATGGTTACAAGCGCTTCCTGACTGATGGCCTAAATTCGTTGGAGTACAAAGAAAAGGAACGTCGACTTCATAGCTTATTCACACACATTCTCGTCGAAACGTGAGTTAAATAATGTCTTACAAAAATATGCCAAGGAAAGAAATTTTTAATCGTCCGTTTAAAAGATAAGTGGATTGAAAACCCACTCGAATAAGGCTTGTAGTTGTAGTTATCAAGACTACAACGAAAAGATATAAATACATATACATACACAAGTTTAAGTACTCGTATACCTGTGAGCATCACCATGTAATTGGTCTAAGGTTACTAATCTAAAACAATTCGCCCACTTTCCTCAATAGCGTATCAGCTCGAAATTCACCGTTTGGCAGGAGTTCCAAAAAACTATTTATCATGATCACATGTGCTCTTACAACAAATCAAAAACAAAAACTACTTCAGGTTTTGCTGGCAGAAATGTATGATTGTACTCTGAGGTAAATGTATAATCGGAGAACAATTTTATCGCATAAAATCGAAAATGACGAATTTTTAATTAATTCACTTTTGATGCATGTGTGCGGATTGCTTTATCTGGTACTTCACATCACGTTGTTCTTAACCAAATTTGATGTACGTACATATATATGTACGTAGTTTTTCGCAGTTGTCAAGAATGAAACGATAATAGTGCTTGTTGTTGCATTAGCAAAAACTGAGCATTTGATAATAAAGATAAATTGGTAATTTTAAAGATTTGGTTGTGAATTACAAAACCTTGCAACGAGATTATACCTATCGCTACGAATCTCATTTCATACTTTAGAAGTACGTTTGGGATTCAAATTTAAAACTTTCACACCCTTATTGCGAGTGTCGACTAGTAGTAGATAAACGACTCTTTTTCGATTATCGCTTGTCCATGGCATTCTGAATGTCGATTTCTCGTTCAATAAGCGACTGTGAAGAGTTTTTTATCGCTAATTTTTCTACAACTGTTTGTCTGTAGAAGGATGAGCGACTATAAACTATTAACACGCACTTATTGAACGAGAAAACGACTTTGAAAATACCACGGATAATCGATAATCGACTAACAGTCGACAGTCGCAATAGGGGTGTCAGTTACTTTTCTTATTATTGAAAGTAGGAGCTAGGGCTAGTGCATTAAGTTTTGAGTGCACTAAACATTTCACTAGCACTGAATATAATAAAAAAAAAAAAAATTTTTCACTATTTACCATCAGCTTAGCGATAGGGAAAAAATTGCGCTATAGACAAATAGCGGAAAATTTAAAAAGAACTACATTATAAGCTGAAAGCCGCTGAAAGTAAAAAATGTTCACTAAACTTTCAAAAATTAATTTGTTTGTAACATCATCACTAGAGCTTGTTGTTGTTGTTGTTGACCCTTTTTGTAATGACATAATGTGAATTTCACCATGAGCTTCACAGATTTGGCTAATTATTTTTTGTGGTATTGGCATGTATAAAAAAATCTACGTACAAGGTTGGGCTCGAGTTGAGTTACATATTACAAAAAAAAAATCGGTCTAAACATTAGTCTTGAAGAAAAAATGGTACTCTGGGCACAATAACGTTTTTTTACTATTATAATATTAGTTTTAGTAGAAACTTTTTAATTCCGGTATCACATTAAGCAATAATGAGGCTGATTATTTTGCAATTCACCACTTACATCAACAGTAGAAATTAAAAATGTTGTATTCGAAAAATACGTGTACTACTCCCAAATCTGCTAAAAATGCAAAGTAGTTAAGATTATATTTTTAATGTATGTATTGAAATGTAAAATTTTACCTACAAGGATCAAGAAAGACATACTAACATATCGACGATGTTTTTGCAAAACCGCTCATAGACCAATTGCAAAACCGCTGATCCTACGGCACTCAAATTTTACTGGAGTGCGAAAAACGGTTTTTTAAGGCATTGCCTTGATAGACCGTATTTTCTCTAGCTATTATTTTACAAATCTGTTGTTTTAATAAAGGTGAATAAATCTCGATGCCTGGAGTTCAGTGTTGCCAAATCTAATTTTTGCCACAACGGCGATTTAGGCTGTTTTGCGCCTGGTCGATGGGCTTTTAAATTATTGGCACACATAAAAAAAGTTCTAAGTTTTTTCTAGTCTATATCTAATACGCACACGCGTATGTTTCACGTAAACGCACACGCACGCAAATAAACAAATCGCGGCTACAAAATGCTAAACAATAATGTATGTATGTAGAAGTACATGCAACATACTGTGTATATATGTATATGAATCCTAATGTAACTATGCCAAGTGCTTTAAGTTGTTTTAAATTTAGAGCATGAAGAATCTCAATTGAAGTATATTTAACTAGGACAATGACGATAATAAATTGATACTCATAGTTTGAAACTTAAAACTGTGTTTGATTTTATATCTTTAATATTTTCTCAATTATCTTTATTGCTATTTTTTCTAAGCCCATACAGTGTCACGGATCCAATTAATAAAGTTATATACACGCGTATAAACGCCCGGTTGATTGGGTGTACCACAGCCCATACCAAAAGACGTAACACCAACTATCGTATACATGCATGGAAAACTGGGATGGTAGGCCAATAATGGGCCACCAGAATCACCACTGCAAGTGTCTTTCGCTTCATTTGACCCAGCACATATTTGCGAACGATTGTCCACTCCTCTGGGAAGTTGATCTACATCTCCAGATTCTGTTATACGTTGACAACTGTGGAAATCGAATCGATGCAGAGTCACTTTTAATAGTTTCTTTGAATCAGCATCGGCGAAGTGGATACTGCCCCAACCGATAGCGACAAATTTTTCAAATTCATCACCTGAGGTTGTTGGCAAACAGGCGGGATGTTTATATGCGTCGAAATTAACAGCGCGATCCAGTTCAATGAGAGCTATATCATTATAAATGGTGCCACTTTCATAATTCTTATGTTCGACGTAGCGACGAACACGAATATCTTCTGGTTGTGCGTCATCCGATTCTTTTTCAAACTCCAGTTCGCCCAAGCGAACTACATTCACTTCACCGCTGCGGAGATAAAAAAACATGAAATGTTTTATCATAAATTCACATGATATTTATAATCGTTAAATGAGATAATTTCTTTGTAACTATAAAGTACTCCATTTCAACTGTAGAGTCTTGTTTTTTGCTAAATTTTTAAACTATATTTAAAGGAACAAAAATGTGAGATAGAGCCTTTCTATACTTTGGTAAAGATATGTATGTACATATATACAAATAAATGTATGTTGTATTTAAAGACGTGCTCTTACCGGCTTGATGAAAGGCAATGCGCTGCAGTTAAAACATATTTATCACTTACTAATGTCCCACCACAAAACCATTCTATCGATCTATCTTTCTCCTCACGACCCAATCGTGCAATATGCGGAAATTCCCTGGGGCTTGCTGGAGTTCCACCCACTATTAGCGGTGCATACGGCTTGCAATTATCTACCGTAAAGCTTAATTCTTCTGCGCCATGTATGAAAGCGCTAAAAGTTCGCACCTCTTCGAATATAAGTTGCTTCACTTCAGTGCATTCTTAAAGAAAATACAATTAAAACTTGCACAACTACTATACCAAATCATTTACTTTTTACTTCAATTGTTGGCTGGACTTGTCCCCTAACGAAAGCCCACTTATTATCAAGCACATGCAAGAAAAGTATTGCTCTTGTAAAAAGATTTCTGAGCTGCATACTTTCCATCCAATTTCTTTGATGCATTGTTCGCAACTGCGGGCTCGAATTGAAGATGAGCTCGAACTACATTCTCTAACTTGTTAGAGCCCAGAATGAAATATTTATGTATAAGTATACAAATGTATAGGCAAATTTATTTGTGTGTTGATTCCCCGCCTGTTGCTGTATTGTTAATCGCGGTTTTCATATGTACGGGAATCTTTTCACCGTCTGACATAACAAGTTTTCATATCAAGTTTTGAGTAGGAAGTGTTTACAATGGTGTTTACTTTCTTAGATATGTGTATGTATGTATGTATGTATTTATGTACATGTGTACTCTGCTGATGAGCATTTTCGTTACCTGAGCAGGACAATTTCGTATTTGTGGAATAAAGGTGTCCCAACTGAACACACGTGCATTAAACAAGGATGCACTTACGACAATGACTCAATATCTCGATTTTACTGTTATTATACTTAAAATCTGGTGCTGAATATGAAAGTTTATGAGAGAATTCAATGATTTGCGAACTTTTTTTTTGTCCAACTGTAATGAAGGAAGGTAAATCCAAGAACTCAGTAAAATTTGGCAACATTTACTAATAACGTAAGCATCGTTAAAACTATTGTATAGAAATATGTGCATTTATTAGTAAAAATAAGAATAAATAATCAAATTGCCGCCAGTTGCATATGAAAACAGTTTTTCCCGCCAATTTTACAAATCCAGGAGCATCCTGGGGTACGGGAGGAAGCTAAATTACTCGTTATTAGCTCTTTCCGCTCGTTATATTAAAAAAATCATTCGCCTTCAGTGCTCGGACATCTTCTGATCGCAGCAGCTTTAGTAAATTTTTTTTAAATCTAATCCGCTTTACTTCAAATCTACTCTGTTTTTTTAATTCACGTTCTGGCTTTCCTATAATCGTTTTTTGATAGTTAACCGTTAGGTTTCAGTAAAAAAGTGAAAGTCTACGTGTCTACTCTGCACGTTAAAGATTTTGTAACCGACAAATTTTATTACCAAAATAAGTTACCAGTTGTTGTCACAGCGATTATAAGTAATGGGCAGTATGCTGCAGCCGGATTCCAACATTTGCTATCGCTAATTTTGATCGCCAAAAATCTCCAAAAGAATAGCAGACGCCCCTAACAACACGCACAACATCTAGTTGCATGCTCTGCACACAGGCAGATTTAGCTGATTACGCATCGCATTACTCTTACTCTTGTTATATACTTTTAGGCGAGTGCTTTTCATTTATAGAATTTTAGCGACGAAAATTTAGCGTAGCGATTATGAATTCCACTGAAGCTCTAAAGAAAAGCAAAAACCAGTGCTACAAACCGCTCTAAAAATAGGTGAGGTTTGGTTCAGTGGTTCGAACCACTCAGAAAATGCTTGTAACGGTAAAAGAACCGGTTCATAAGTATCCGTGAACCACGGTTCAGTTTGGTAAATTTTTTTTTATGCTAAAACAGAGGTCCCCAAACCTTTTTTTCTCGTAGACCCCTTTCAAAACTTTACTGGTCTCGGTGGATCCCCTACGGCTACATTTCTACATGTCATGTTGTTGTTGTTTTGCCGCATATGCGTGGGTAAAAAGTTTAGAATTGGGTGAATTTGATACGTCTTCTATTCAAAATCAGAGTTCGCTTGGATAACAATCAAAAACCTCTCTGTGATGCAGAGAAGTAGTCATGGGTAATAGCGCAATTTTTTGGCGCTAGCTCAATAACGCCAGTGCCACCTGTGGTGTCAGCGGCAACTCCGGCTACGGTGTTAACCCAATTGCGCCGCGAAGCGCAGTGTGTCCGATGCCTACAGAGAAGAATTTCTATCTGGCGGGGCCTTAAAAAATTTTCTTGTGTTAAATTTCCTTAATAGGGCTTTCGCACGAGGCGATTTTTCAGGCAACTTTTGCGTTCAACTCACGCAAGGTTGCACGAAAAAAAACTTGAATGGCTAAAAATATCAAAATATAAAGCAAAAACAAAGTAACCGCCCTATTCCCACAACAATGACAAAATTCATCATATGACTATTGTCACAATTACTGCGCCTAAAACACAATAAGGGTATTCATCAGCCCTTATAAATGCATTGTAAACCGTATAAACTTATAATTGTGTAAACCTTATAAATGAACTGTCAAAATTTGTCTGGAAATTCGTTTACACATTTCTGATAAATTTCTCCAGCGATGTCACTGAATAAACTTGATAAACTGAAGTCAATGCAACTCTGTCGCAACTCCAGCTATGTTTTCTTGGGCAATAATCGGGATACACATAAAAATTTTGCACGCAAATTCAACAACAACGATGTGATCCTGATAGAGAACTGGTTCAATTATTATCCTTTCTTTTTATTTTGTTTCACTGATAATTTGGCCGCAAAGTTTGGTAGCGTGGCAAATGAATTCATACACAAATAGACATCCTGCCATTGTTTCTTTTAACTTGCTTCAAATAAGTAGCCTTTATTTTATATGTATATTTATTTAAATAGATATTATCTCGTAAATATAATCTCTTCTTATAACTAACGAAGACATTGGCCCGTAGTCATAGTCAAAATAAAGTCGACTTTAAAGTTAGTTGCAGCTTTTTTGACAGATATCCCATTGAAAATTATGTCAAAAAGCTGCAACTAACTTTAAAGTCGACTTTATTTTGACTATGACTACGGGCCTTTGTTTCTATATGAAGCTGACTTCGACATTTTGTTTTAGTAAAACTTAGTAAAGGTAGTAAGGTAAATACGAACAGGCGAACAAAAGAGAATACAAAAAATTTCTTGCGCTGAATTTTCAGAGCTATATATTTTTAGTATTCATTACAAAATTGTACTAAAAATACTCCGTAGTAGGAAAGTATATTGTAAATGAAATTGTATCAAACAAGTACAATTGTACCAAAAATGCCAACACTGTTCTGTATACTTTTTTACTTTTTTACTCTTATTTTATCTTTCAGCTTCGCTAAAAGCACTTCTACCAACGCTTGGCTTACCAAATTTACGCCAATTGATAAAATTTTGCGATTTAAATTCATTTTCAATAATGTAAATAACGATTCGTATTGAATCGCAAATCGCCTCGTCTGAATAGGGATGGCAACTTTTTCACTTTCAACTTCTCATTCAACTTCGTATTCAACTTTTGTTGCCTGTAAAATCGCCTTGTGCGAATGCCCTATTACTGCTTCGGCGTTGGCAAAAATGCACTGCCCCTCCATGAACGAAAGACACAAGATCACGTAAGAACAAGAGAGTGAAAAAAGTCGATTTTTTTAGCGGGTTCTACGCTATCTTGTTTCACTGGAAAACGAGCGAAAAGTAAACAAAGCAAAGAAAACAACGAAAACCAAAATTAGCCAAAATTATTGTCAGCCACTTTAAACGCACAATTTAGGTAAAATGATGCAACAAAATGCTTTGAAATGTGTTGTCATGTTGAATTAACTCTTCTTTACTTGAATAAAAGTGTAAAATAGTGGTGCTTGTGATGTAAACAAACGCTCAGCTGACGAACCCGCTTTCGGAAACCTTTTTCTCAAAACCAGTTACAAAAACAACGTCGCGTTCTTACGTGATCTTGTGTCTTTCGTTCATGCTGTCCCTCCATGATTCAATAATACAAGGTTAGATAATTATTAACAGCCGCGGTTTAACACTCCCTTACAAAAGGTTGCATTTACGAAGGACAGAGAAAGGGAAAGAATGCAATCCCATGTTGCGAAAATGGTAGAAGAAAAGTACGCAAAGTAGGCAATTAGAAGTGAAATTCCTTTTTTAAATTCTAATGTATTTGAAGGAAATCTGGCAGTTTAAACGAAATATTTAACGAAATATTAATACATCTACGTGAATTACGTAATTAATGTGCTATTTAGCTGTAGAAAAAAATCAAAAGAACTCAAAATTTAAATAAAACTATTATGAGATTTATGTAAACATCCAATTTAAAAACAATTTATGTTTTCATCAGTTAAATGTGCTTCATATGCATATACAAATAAACATATTGCACAAAAGCTTATATGTACTTCTATTTCACAGCAAAGCTACACTTTTTCCAAGTAAATTTGCAAAGAAGCAACACTCTACCACTGCTAAGGGAGCGGTGCGAGTGAGACAACTGTCAGTTTATCGAACCTTGTATTATTGAATCATGTTAAAAGGGTAATTACAGACTGGTACAGACTTATTGATAAAAAGTAAACCGATTAAAACACTGGCTTTAGTAAAATTTTTTGTGTTCGAAGGCATTGATTCTTTTAAAATTGTTTCAACGTGGGAAAAAAAAAACATTTTTCTGTTGTTCCCCATCAATGGAAATGTAATGGAGTTCTGTTGTGGCCAGAACATTTGAGCCATTCCCCAAAGGAAAACTTGAGATCGAATGCTGCGAGCGTACCTGTAGAGGGATGGGTGGAGTACTGCTGTGTCCTTAAATTCTCTGGAATTCTTACATTTGGAGACGCTTTGGCAATTGATAAACAACCAACACAGTGCATTGACACAGATTCAGAGGAAACGTTCGTATTTTCAACGAACATAGTACAAGTGTTTATTATCATTCCTTTTCAGGTTGTTCTTGGAGTAGGAGCTAAAAAAAGGCGAACCAATAAAAATAAATCTATTACTCAACAGTTAACAGATATAAATCATTTGTTTGTTAATATGATTACTGAACATAGCTTACCTATTTATCCTAGTAATTCACAAATTCAGGAAGTGGTATATAGCCCAATAGCTTTAGAGCCGGACGGTAATGGGACCTTTGGCATTAATATTTTAGATGAAGGTTAATAAAATATTTGGTATGTTGAAATCATATTGTAACGTGTATCTTGTTTCTAGAGATTGCAGCACCAAACCTCGGCAAAAATAAGGTTATAAATAAAATAAGTAATCTTAAAAATGAGGTTTGTAAGCCGAAGAATGAGTTAACTACATTCAAAACAGAGATAAAACAATAGATTAAGGATGATCTTTCAAAAATTAACCTGAGCTTGGACAAAATTTTCCGATTACTTTCTAATCAGGATCATTCTCGTAAAGAAGTACCAGTACTCAACGCCAAACCAGATTTGCTTGAACATTTTAAATTCCCATTATCATCGGGTGAAGAAATATTTAAATTAGATGATAAAATTAGAAAAGATGCAGAGTTTCGAACTCAGCTGGTAAGCCAAACATGTTCTCTATTTGCTAGTGCCGAGTGAATTACACTTTAACCAATCGTCTGTAGATTGCATTTTTATC